CAAGAGGGAGGGTGTCTGAAGCGCGCTGCAGCTGCGACAGCAAGCACTAGCCAAGTATTTGAATGTTGAGCACCAAGCTCATTGGCTGCTGATGTGAAAAGAATGCCAGACCTACTATACACAGCCACGGCCTGTTAGCTTGACAAAAAAGAAAAAAAGCTGAAGATTTAGAAACTCCTTCCACTTCAAAGGCAGCAAAATGTAAACAACGCAAGTACAACCCAGACTATGTTAAATATGGATTCACTGGATTCACCCTTTCCCGAATTCCACCGCATCTGGATATCATCATTTCAGAGCGGCAGTCTCAAATGTCACATTAACGTGAGTTAATAAATAAATTAAATTAAATTAATAAATCAGTTTGCCTCATAGTCTGTCTAATTATTGAAAGTGTTTGTGTGTTTTTGTGAAATTAATTATAATAAGCATATACAGTGTAGCCTAGGTCTAAAGAGGCATTTCAGTTATTTATTTATTTCCAGCCTTAGTGGATCGTATGACTGGCATACAAAAAAAAAGTGGGTCGCAGTAGGCAAAAGGTTGAGAAACCCTGGTGTAGTGTATGGGCAGCATAAAGAAGTGCAGATGCTTCATTGATGCTTCAGATATATTTTGTAGGTTGGACCTCTCTACAATCCAAGTCCTGTAGTTTGAAATGTGTGTTTGAAACTGACATTGGCGATGACAGACAGTTGTGTAGTGTGAAAACAGCAGCAATCTGACAACTTTGAAAATTTGTGTAGTTAATTATAATCCTGTGGCTTGGATTGACACACAGTCTAATGGTCTAACAAAATCTAATTTTAAAACTATACCACTATACCAATTTTTATGGCCCTTATTTTTCTTATTTGAGCCAAAGGAGATGAATGAAGTTATTTCAGGACCCTGATTGTAACGCATTTGTGGATTGGTGTGTGTCTCGATGCTAGAAATGTTTCAAAATCCACAAATGCACAGCGAGCGATCCACAAATGGGTGCAGCGATCTACAAATGCACGGGACGCGATTCACAAATTAATGCCAGGCAAAGTTGTGTTTGTGACTTAAAAAGATATTTGTGAACATGTTTTTTATTTGCAAATCTCATTTTATTTATTTGTGGATCTAATTCTATTTATTCGTCAATATGTTTAATTTTTGTTAATCTCTTTACATTTATTTGTGGATCATAATCTATTTATTTAGAATAAAGCAACAATTCTACCCCCATAATCTTCCAGTGTTTGACATTCAGAAATACACAGTTCATGCGGTTTAAAAAAGGCAATTGTATCAATTGTATAGCCACAGTTGTGCGTGTTTTTTTATGCATAATATTTTTGGAGTTAGTATTTGTATTTAATAAAGCACCACTGCATCAAAATAATTGGTAAATGAAAAACATTACGTATGATAAACAATAATTTTAATTACACTGCCCTTAAACATTAAGCAAAAACTAATTTAAGCTTTTTAGTTTGACTTATAATTAATGTTAACTTAAAAAATGTTGAGTATTCTGAACTTATCGGGTTTTACAGTGTAGTATGGGATGAGAATAGTTTAAGAGTGATGCGTTGGGGTGGAGGAGGGATGCCGGAAAACAGTTGTGAGAGAGAGTTGACTTGGCTGTGTATATATATATATATACAGTGGGGAATACTTTCCGTACCCACTGTATATATATATACACATATCATGCTAATTAAGTTGATCAACTAGACGAGCTCCACCTGTGCTGCATTGGTTGATTATCTGATCGTGCTCCTCCCAAACCTTGTTAATAAAACATATACATAAAATAACCCCCCTATATAACATACATGAAATCACCCCATAGCAGGTGGAGCTGGGGAAGATGGAGGGTTTCTGAAGCGCGCTGCAACTGCTACAGCAAGCACTAGCCAAGTATTTGAATGTTGAGCACCAAGCTCATTGGCTGCTGATGTGAAAAGAATGCCAGACCTACTATACACAGCCACGGCCTGTTAGCTTGACAAAAAAGAAAAAAAGCTGAAGATTTAGAAACTCCTTCCACTTCAAAGGCAGCAAAATGTAAACAACGCAAGTACAACCCAGACTATGTTAAATATGGATTCACTGGATTCACCCTTTCCCGAATTCCACCGCATCTGGATATCATCATTTCAGAGCGGCAGTCTCAAATGTCACATTAACGTGAGTTAATAAATAAATTAAATTAAATTAATAAATCAGTTTGCCTCATAGTCTGTCTAATTATTGAAAGTGTTTGTGTGTTTTTGTGAAATTAATTATAATAAGCATATACAGTGTAGCCTAGGTCTAAAGAGGCATTTCAGTTATTTATTTATTTCCAGCCTTAGTGGATCGTATGACTGGCATACAAAAAAAAAGTGGGTCGCAGTAGGCAAAAGGTTGAGAAACCCTGGTGTAGTGTATGGGCAGCATAAAGAAGTGCAGATGCTTCATTGATGCTTCAGATATATTTTGTAGGTTGGACCTCTCTACAATCCAAGTCCTGTAGTTTGAAATGTGTGTTTGAAACTGACATTGGCGATGACAGACAGTTGTGTAGTGTGAAAACAGCAGCAATCTGACAACTTTGAAAATTTGTGTAGTGTATGGAAGGAAACCTGCTAAAAATCTGGGCTACGTACATGTAGTGTGTGGGTGGCATTACTTTCTCATTGTATCTGAATTCAAACATGTGCAGTGCTAGCAACATAAAGTCTTTTAACTGCACAACATAACTGAATATTGAACAGGTCTATTAATTCATTCAAAAACAGACCTGAATATTTTGAAACCTTCTCAAAATAACTGAGCTTCAGCTAAAAATGTTTTGGTTTGCCGGTTTTTTTCATAATACATTTTATATTTGCGTATTGATTGCAAAAATTATATTTTCATCAGAATATAAAATACATGGATGTATTTTCATAGCTGTCAATGAGGAAAGATACTTTTTGAATGGTATTCTGGCATCTACTTGTAGGGGATTAACTATACAATGCTAAGCAGATAATTTTGACCCCTTGGAGTGGAACAAAACTGTGACATCAACTCAACCAAAGCTGTGAGTTTGGGGCGGGACTAACCAGAAAGGGGTTTCGGTCTACCCAAAGCAAAATGGTAATTGTTCTTTTCATTGCTGTGCTTTAGATTTATCACATACCTTAAATTCCAAATCCTTTAGTGTGAAATGTGTTTTGACTAGAACTGACATCGGCGATGACAGACAATTGTGTAGTGTAAAAACAACAGCATTCTGACAACTTTAAAGTTGTGTATAGGGTATGGGTGGAAACCTGCTAAAAATCTGGGATATGTGCATGTAGTGTGTGGGCAGCATTACTTGCTCATTGCTTCTGCATTCAAACATGTGCAGTGCTAACGACA